TTATGTCTTTACATCTGGCAATGAAGATGAAATAACCGAAACGGAGACGATGCTGATGCTCGAGCTGCAGACGTGTCAGGATCCAATACCATTGGGACAAAATGTGTCTGGAAAATAGAAGAGATTTCATCCTGTGCATGTTGAGCTGCAGTAGTGAATTGCAGTGTGTCACTGTGGCCTCAGACACACTGCTGGTGTTATAAAATTAATTAAACTAAACAACACTTTTTTTTGTTTCCTGTAGTAGTTTTGTAGTTTTGATGTGATAGTACTTCTAGCAGAGAGAATACTAGATGTACTTTGTGTTGTGTTTTTTTTTTTTAAATTCTGTTAATGTAGGAAGCTCAGCAGGGAGTGTTTTTGTGCCTCATTGTTGTCTCCTGGTGGGGAAAAAAATGATGTTCAGATTTGAAGTGATGGGTGGAAAGAAAAAACAAAGTTGCATTATTGGACGGGACAAAAATACAGGGTGACCTGGGACAAAGTCGGCCCTCTCACACTCACCCTCTGTGCCTCATTACTGGAAGAATCGCAGACCTCTTGTCAGAAGCAGTTTCTTTCAGCAGGGATCCTGCTGTGACAGCGTGCGGAATAAAAAAAAAAAAACAGCACATGACAGACATCACCTCAAACAACTCTCCTAAATATACTGTATGTGTTTGGGAAACAGCTGCGTCCCAAATGGTCTGAAATGTGAGGTTTTGTAGTTAAAAAGAAGAGCAGCTTCAGCGGAGATCTGAGTTCAGTGTGACTTTAATACAGATAAATAAATACATCAAAATGCAAACCATAAGTTATACACTTTTAAAGGGATAGTCTGAGCAAAACATATATTTAAAAAAGCCTGAGACTCTAATGAAAATCACCAACATCTCAACTAAATTATAGTGGAACTTCGAGATACGAGCATAATCCGTTCCAAGACCGAGCTCGTAACTAGAGGTGCTCGTATCTCAAATCAGTTTTTTCCCAAAAGAAATAACAGAAAAATAATTAAGCAGGGCGCTTTGGCCCAGAGGCAATGTCTCTGTCATTGGTGTTGAACCCCAGGGTTCACCTCCTGGACAAGTTCGAATCTCGGTTAGGGCGGTTGGTACCTTCCAGTGGACTCACCACCTGCAGGAAGGGTTGGGGGGTTGGTACGGTGCAATGTGATTTGGGTGGAGACTGCTGCCCCCGCGACCCGGTAACGGATAAGCGGATGAAAATGGATGGATGGATAATTAATCAGTTCTGGCCCTCAAAAAAAATCTCCCTTATTAGTGCTAATAACAATGGAAGAAGACATCTTTTTAATTGCTACAGAGACATACAGTACACACAAAAATAATAGAATACAAGGATTCCTGTGATATAAAATAAAATGTGGTTTTAGTTATGAGGTCTTACCTTCGAGACAGACGATACAGTAATAGTACAGTAGGAGGGGGAGGGGCGGAGTTGGCCCGTACGTAGACACTTGATTTGATATCTCAAATCTTTACTCGTATCTTGAAGCAAAAATTAGCTCAAAGTCTTGTTCGTATCTCGAAATACTATGTCGGGAGAAGCTCATGTCTCGAGGTTCCACTGCATTATGTCAAATTATGCTGTTTGATGAAAAATGCAATGTTATTTCCAAAGCCTCTTGACCTCTTGATACGCTTAGAGCTTACAGATGAAGTGAAGTCATGTGAAATTCCTCTGGACGTACGTCTCACTCTTTGTTTTCTCAAGACTTGTCATTTACGGCCAAAGCCGGCAGCACGTTTTCACCCGAGCGTTACTTTTAGTCTTCACCTAGAATACGTGGAGGTAATCCGTTGACTCACTGACTCGCAGCTCTAATCCAGGCTGCCTCGTGTCTTTTCTTCCGCTGTGAACTTAGAGGTTAAATGCTGTTTAATACTCTGTGTGTACGTGTGTGTACGTGAAAGTCTCTGTACAGAGGCTTCCTGTATAGGAATGGAAGAGAACACCACCACCACCACCACCACACGAACCCACCGCAGCCAACTCGACCAATACAAGCTCACAGCAGTAGGTCTAATCAAAGCACTTCATAATAGTGTTAGCTGGGTCATGTGCTGGACGTCAGGATTAAGAGCAGGAGGCCACAGGCCACTAGCTGCAGCTTTGGACTCTCTCTCTCTCGTTCTCTCTCTCTCGTTCTCTCTCTCTCTCTTTCACTCTCTCTCTCTATCACTCTGTGTTTTTATTTTAACCTCATACGTGAGGACACAGACATCTAAGGTCACAGATGTCGGTTTCTCTTAAGAGACCCTCAGTTGTGGTCTCTTACCATAAACTAATGGGTTAAAAAAAACAAAAACAAAAAACTCAGTCATGTCAACAGCTTTTAGATGGATTTGAAATATTAGGACAGATGACATCATGCCCCCAGGGCCAAGTCAAAGGTTGTTATTTTTAAAAATAAACCAATATAAAAATATGAGCGGGCTGTTGTTTTCTGGTCTATTTATTAGAGAGGTTTTTAATGGGTTAATGGGTTTTATGAATCTGTGAATTTTAAAAAAGGAACAATTTTTGTTTTGCTCCTTTCACTCAGCAGAAGTTGTACTTAATAGAAAAAACAGAAAAACACTTAACCTTATTCTCTAATGGAAAGCAATGGAAGAAGACATATTTTTAACTGCTACAGAGACATACAGTAAACACAAAAATAATAGTATCTAAGGATTCCTGTGATATAAAATAAAATGTGGTTTTAGTTATGAGGTCTTACCTTCGAGACAGACGATACAGTAATAGTACAGTAGGAGGGGGAGGGGCGGAGTTGGCCCGTACGTAGACACTTGATTTGATATCTCAAATCTTTACTCGTATCTTGAAGCAAAAATTAGCTCAAAGTCTTGTTCGTATCTCGAAATACTATGTCGGGAGAAGCTCATGTCTCGAGGTTCCACTGCATTATGTCAAATTATGCTGTTTGATGAAAAATGCAATGTTATTTCCAAAGCCTCTTGACCTCTTGATACGCTTAGAGCTTACAGATGAAGTGAAGTCATGTGAAATTCCTCTGGACGTACGTCTCACTCTTTGTTTTCTCAAGACTTGTCATTTACGGCCAAAGCCGGCAGCACGTTTTCACCCGAGCGTTACTTTTAGTCTTCACCTAGAATACGTGGAGGTAATCCGTTGACTCACTGACTCGCAGCTCTAATCCAGGCTGCCTCGTGTCTTTTCTTCCGCTGTGAACTTAGAGGTTA